TGCCAGTATTTTATTGAGGATTTTTGCATCGATGTTCATCAAATATATTTGTCTGAAATTTTCTCTTTTTGTTGTGTCTCTGCCAGGTTTTTCTATCAGGATGATGCTGGCCTCATAAAATGAGTTAGGAAAGCATCCCTCTTTTTTATTGTTTTGAATAGTTTGAGAAGGAAATTGTAGCAGCCCCTCTTTGTACCTCACTTATACTTTGGCGTGAATTTATCTGGTTCTGGGCTTTCTTTTGTTGGTGGACTATTAATTTCTACCTCAATTTCAGAACTTGTTATTGCTCTATTCAGGCATTCAACTTCTTTCTGGTTTACCCTTGGGAGGTTATTTGTTTCCAGAAATTTATCCCCTTTTTCTAGCTTTTCTAGTTTGTTTGTGTAGAGGTGTTTATAGTATTCTGTGGGATCAATGGTGATATCCCCTTTATCATTTTTATTTTGTCTATTTGATTCTTCTTTCCTTCTTTATTAGTCTGGCTAGTGGTCTATCTATTTTGTTGATCTTTTCAAAAAGAAAACAGCTTCTGAATTCATTGATTTTTTTAAAGATATTTCCATGTCTCTATCTTCTTCAGTTCTGTTCTGATCCTAGTTATTCCTTGTTTCTGCTAGCTTTTGAATTTGTTTGCTCTTTTTTATCTAGTTTTTTTAAATTGTGATGTTTGAATGTTGATTTCAGATCTTTTCAGCTTTCTGATATGGGCATTTAGTGCCATAAACTTTCCCTCTTAATACGGGTTTAGCCGCGTCCCAGAGATTCTGGTCCATTGTGTTTTTGTTCTCATTGGTTTCAAATGACTTATTTCTGCCTTCATTTCATTATTTACCTGGTAGTCTGTCAGGAGCAGGTTGTTCAATTTCCATGTAGTTGTGTGATTTTGAATGAGGTTCTTAATCTTGAGTTCTACTTTGATTGTACTGTGGTCTGAGAAATGTGGTTTTTTTTATGATTTTTGTTCTTTTGCATTTTCTGAGGAGTGTTTTAGTTTCAATTATGTGTTTGATTTTACAATAAGTGGAATGTGTTTCTGAGAAGAATGTATATTCTGTTGATTTGGGGTGGAGATTTCTGTAGATATCTATTAGGTCTGCATGGTCCAGGGCTAAGATTATGTCCTGAATATCCTTGTTAATTTTGTGTCTTGCTGATCTGTCTAATATTGACTGTGGGGTGTTAAAGTCTTCCACTACTATGGTATGGAAGTCTAAAGTCTCTTGGTAGGTCTGGAAGCACTTGTTTTATGAATCTGGATGCTCCTGTATTGGGCGCGTATATATTTAAGATAGTTAGCTCTTCTTGTTGCATTGATCTCTTTACCATTATGTAATGCCCTTCTTTGTCTTTGTTCATCTTTGTTGGTTTAAAGTCTGTTTTATCAGAGACTAAGATTGTAACCCCTGCTATTTTTTTTTTCTTTCCTTTGCTTGGTAAATATTCCTCCATTCCTTTATTTTGAGCCTATGAGTGTCTTTGCACATGAGCTGTATCTCCAGAATACAGCACACCAATGAGTCTTGACTCTTTATCCAATTTGCCAGATTGTGTCTTTTCATTGGGGCATTTAGCCCATTTACATTGAACGTTAATACTGTTATGTGTGAATTTGATTCTGTCTTCATGATGCTAACTGGTTATTTTGCACATTAGTTTTTGCAGTTTCTTTATAGTGTCACTGATCTTTATATTTTTGTTTTGCAGTAGCAGTTACCACTTTTCCTTTCCATATTTAAAGCTTTCTTCAGGAGCTCTTTTTTTTTCCCCATTTATTTATTTTATTGCATTTTAGGTTTTGGGGTACATGTGAAGAACATACAAAATTGTTGCATAGTAACACACGTGGCAGTGTGATTTGCTGCCTTCCTCCCCATCACCTACATCTGGCATTTCTCCCCTTGCTATCTCTCCCCAGCTTCCCACCCCCCACCGTCCCTCCCCTATTTCCCCCCAACTGACCCCAGTGTGTAGTGATCCCCTCCCTGTGTCCACGTGTTCTCATTGTTCAACACCCGCCTATGAGTGAGAACATGCGGTGTTATGTAGGCCTGATTGTGGCAAAATCCCTCAGCATTTTCATGTCTGTAATGGATTTTATTTCTTCTTGGCTTATAAAGCTTAGTTTGGCCGTTTGTGAAATTCTGGGTTGAAAATTCTTCTTCTTCTTCTTTTTTTTTTTTAAGAATGTTGAATATTGGCCCCTACTCTATTCTGACTTGTAGCCTTTCTGCAGAGCGATCTGCTGTTAGCCTGATGGTTTCCCTTTGTAGGTTAACCCGACCTTTCTCTCTGGCTACCCTTAACATTTTTCCTTTGTTTCAAACTTGAAGAATCTGATGATTATGTCTCTTGGGGTTGCTCTTTTCAAGGATTATTTTAGTTGTGTTCTCTGTATTTCCTGAATTTGAATGATGGCTTGTTTTGCTATGTTGGGGAAGTTCTCCTGGATGATACCGTGAAGTGTGCTTTGCAACTTGGTTCCATTCTCCCTGTCACTTTCAGGTTCACTAATCCATCGTAGATATGTTCTTTTCACATAGTCTCATATTTATTGGAGGCTTTGTTAGTTCTTTTTAATTCTTTTTCCTCTAATCTTGTCTTCATGCTTTATTTCATTAAGTTGATCTTCATTCTCTGATATTTCTTCCACTTGATCAATTCAACTATCGATACTTGTGTATGCTTCACGAAGTTCTCGTGCAGTGTTTTTTCATCTCCATCAGGTCAGTTATGTTGCTTAAAGTAGTTATTCTAGTTACCCATTCCTGTAATCTTATATCAAGGCCCTTAGCTTCCTTGCATTGGATTAGAACATGCTCCTTTAGCTCAGATGAGTTTGTTATTACCAACCTTCTGAAGCCGACTTTTGTGAATTAATTAGTATCATTCTCTGTCCAGTTTTGTGCCCTTGCTGGAGATGAGTTTTGATAATTTGGAAAATAGGCATTCTGGTTTTTGGAATTTTCACAATTTTTCCACTTTTTTCCTCATGTTTGTGGAGTTTTCTACCTTTGATATTTGAGGCTGATGACTTTTGGATGGAGTTTCTGCATAGGGATCTTTATTGTTTATGTTGATGTTGATGTTGTTGCTTTCTGTTTGTTAGTTTTTCTTCTAACAGGCTGGCCCCTCTTCTGCAAGTCTGTTGCAGTTTGCTGGATGTCCACTGCAGACCCTTTTTACCTGGGTATCAGTAGTAGAGACTGCAGAACAGCAAAGATTGCCTCGCACTTCTTTTTCTGGAGGCTTCATTTTAGAGGGGCACCAGCCTGATGCCAGCTAGTGCTCTCCTGTATGAGGTGTCTGTTGACCCCTGTTGGGAGGTCTCTCCCAGTCAGGATGCACAGCTGTCAGGGACCCACTTTAGGAGGCAGTCTGTCCATTAGCAGAGCTCCAGTGCTCTGCAGAGCCAGCAGGCAGGAAAGTTTAAGTCCACTGAAGCTGTGCCCACTGTTGCCCCTTCTCCCAGGTACTCCGTCCGAGGGTAATAGGAGTTTCATCTGTAAGCCCCTGAATGGGGCTGCTGCCTTTCAGAGATTCCCTGTTCATAAAGGAGGAATCTAAAGAGGTAGTCTGGTCACAGCCACTTTGCTAGGCTGTGATGAATTCTGTTCATTCCAAGCCCTCCGGCCTCTTTAGCGCTGTCAGGGGAATACCACCTACTCAAGCCACAGTAATGGTAGACACCTCTCCTGCTACCAAGCTTGATTGTCCCAGGTTGACTTCATACTGCTGTGCTGGCTGTGAGAACTTCAAGCCAGTGGTTCTTGGCTTGTTGGGCTCCATGCGAGTGGGTCCCACTGAGTGAGAACACTTGGCTCCCTGGCTTTGGCCCCATTTTCAGGGGAGTGATGGTTCTGTCTCACTGGGATTCCAAGCACCACTGGAATATGGGGTGAAAAAAAAAAACTGTAGCTAGCTCAGTATTGGCCCAAACAGTCGTACAGTTTTGTCCTTGAAACCCAGGTCCCTGGTGGTGTAGCACACGAGGGAATCTCCTGATCCATGGATTGCAAACCATGAGAAAAGCATATTATACCAGCTGGGTAGCACAGTTCTTAACAGCTTCCCTTGGCTAGGGGAGGGAGGTCCCCCAGCTCCTTGCACTTCTCATGTGAAGTGACGCCCCACCCTGCTTCTGCTAATCCTCTGTTGGTTGCACCCACTGCCTAACCAGTCCCAGTGAGATGAACTGGGTACCTCAGCTGGAATGCAGAAATCACCCGCCTTCTGCATTGGTTTTGCTGGGAACTGCAGACCAGAGCTGTTCCTATTCAGCCATCTTGCCAAATCTTCCAAAAATGCTTGTTAAGGAGTTTACTTCTCATTTTTCTAAAAGATACTTGGGAGAGACAGTTTATTTAAAAGTGTTACCTCTTGTAATATATTTAAAACTTTTCAAGTAAGGTTATATTAAATTTACAACTTTTTTTTATTAAAACAGAGGTAACATAAACAAATTCATAGTTATTCTGATGGAAAACTTACAGTGCTCTGAGCATTACTATGGTAGAAGCCAGTTGGTAACATTGGATTTATGCTTTGTATTCTTAATATGGTGTACAGTAAATCACCATTTATTGAATGTATTAACTACAAGGGGCTCTCCCTTCTATGTTTTATCTGTGTACACGTTCCCTTACACCTTGGGGCCCAACTTAACAGCAGAGTTCAATAGCTCTTGTCTCTTTCTGAACATTTAGCACATTCCAGGATAACTTCTGCCATTTGTCATTTTCCTCCTCCCTCACTAATAAGGCACCCAATTCTATAGATTTGGCACCTCCCAATTTAAAAGTGGCATATGAGGATTTAGTATATATTGAAAAATCTCTCTCAAGATTCTCTTGAGAGTTAACTGTACAGAGTATACATTTTACTTTCCATAAGTGTAGGTAAAATAAACAAATTACAAGGCTATTGATGCTGCCACATTTTCAGTAAATGTGAAATTACATATATTTGTGCGTATACACATTTTTTTTATTTTAATTTAGGATTTACTTTCCCATATGCTTCATATGGACCCACGTCAGCGGTACACTACTGAACAAATATTAAAGCACTCATGGATAACTCACAGAGACCAGTTGCCAAATGAGCAGCCAAAGAGAAATGATATGTCACATGTTGTTAAGGTAAAACAACCATACTTTTAGGTGCCTTCTAAATATCTGATACCTAATAAATCCATTTGCTGATGACACTTAGATAATTCCTTAAAATATCTTTATTTTTTAAAGATAGATTATTTTAAATTAACAACCATGTGATTTTCTTAGTTTACTTTACTACTACCTTTCAGGTGAAACAATAAAAATTTCTTGATTGTACCTGCCTTGTTTTTGAGAGATGCTGGAATTAGGATTGAGCTAAATGCAAGTTTCACATAGAAACAAAAGATTGCTATTTGTTCGTAAATTATAACGGTTCATGAAACCATTTCTATATCCATATATATTGAACTAAGGTTTTAAATGTTAGTATTTTAACATTGTTTTCTAAAAAGCGTAGTTATCGGAATGAAAAACATACAAGTAATATTCATCAAAGGAGCATCAGTTTCAGATCTAATATATTCAGTTGTTTTCCTAGGAGACATTTTGTTCTAGATTAAATGTCTCATGATATAATGTGAAAGGTTTTTTTTGTTTTTTTTTTTTTAACTCCAGAATTGTTACTTAGTTTGTGACATTTTCTCATTAATTTAGGGAGCAATGGTTGCAACATATTCTGCCCTGACTCACAAGACGTTTCAACCAGTCCTAGAGCCTGTAGCTGCTTCAAGCTTAGCCCAGCGACGGAGCATGAAAAAGCGAACATCAACTGGCCTGTAAGATTTGTGGTGTTCCTTGGTTAAACTGGATGAAGATGAAATTAAATGTGTAGTTTTTTTTCCGAATCTTATCAAAGGCATCGTTTTCTGCTAAATTACTTGAATATTAAGTAATATAAGTCCCCATTTTTAGGGGAAATGAGATTTAAAAAACCATGCACAGGTCCACAATATTCATATTATGTGTTTGCAGTAGTGTTCAAGTGTTCATTTAAGCACATAATGGATGTCCACCAGGTCATCACAACTTCTCTGCACATTAGCTTCTAAAATTCCTTTTAAATAAAGTTAATTTAATTTTTTTCTTGTTTCATACAATTATGGTTTGGGGAATCATTACCAACAATCAGTATACATATATAATAGTACAATGACAAGCAATGTTAGTATTTTTTAACATCAGATCCTGAAGGATAGGCTTTTTTAAAAAAAGAAAAACAAAAAAAAAACATATTGTAGAAGCTTGTTATTCTGTAAAACCAAAGGACTCCATTTATTTGCCTCACTGTAGTTACTAAAATGTAAACATAGTGGTTTGGTGCCAGAGCAAAATACATTTGTGCTAATATATTAAATCTTGATATAGTTGGTGCCAAAGTTTTTATAGAAGAATTATATCACAGATAATGTGTTCAGGCAGATCTGTATATTATCCATAAGTGGCCTCATTAGAAATAAAGGTTTTTTTATAAGGCTTCTGTAAATTTTACATCTAATAGAAATTTAGTACAAGTGAAACTTTTTTTTTGCCAAAGGCTTTATACTGTTGGTGTAATCTTCTAAATAGGTCATAGTTAAGCCTTTGAAAATGAAGTATGTGGTGTTGACACTATCCTGGTGTTATATAAACTGATTTTCAAGTTAACCAATTGGATTTAATAATCATCTATCCCCTTTACAAATGAACTACACTGTTGTTTTTCTGTCTTCAATGTGCTTTGAAGTACAGTGTAGCATATTATTCTTCCTTGAATCCTATGGTAATACAGTTGACATCTTACTATAGTGGACTTGTGCATATAGCACACATGATATAGTATAATGTATTACAGTAAGCTTTAGACAATGCTACTTAATAGTTTGACTTCATGAAGATACACTAACATTTTCAATATGAATAATATTAATGGTCTACATGAAATGTGAGCACATTTGAAATCATATTTATAAAAAAATCTGGCCAAATTGGTCTTATTTAATGTATAATTCAGAACCACTGTGTAGTATGCATTATTTTTTCTAAATGATGGAATGTTAAAGAATCATTTCACGTTGTTGAAGAAAATACCATTGCTACAGCAACAGCAGCAACTACTACTACTACTACTACTACTACTACTACTACTACTACTACTGCTACTACTACTGACAGAAAGAGTTCATGAATGTAAACTGGAGGGTATCACAGTTTTCTTTAGTGAATATAAGTGAACTACTTGTGTGTGTTAGGTGTGTTGTTTGCTATCTATTTTACTTTGTTTCATTCAGAGAGAAAGTTGATTACTGAGTGCTGAAGTATACAATTTAGGCTGGGAAACTTGTAACTTTGGTATTTAATAAAATAAACTATACATATTCTCTTTGTAATGCAAATAATCTATACCCCATGCACAAAGACCTGTTTCCTGGGTGTGATATATTAAAGTATGTATTCTTATTTTGAGGTATCTTTTTGAAGTAATTGAAAGAGATTAAAGAACAACTTATGCCACATGAAAAATAATTGCCTAGAAGTAGTTAGGTATCATGTCTTGTGGCTTTTTTATGTTCCATTTTGGATTTTTCTTTTCTCATTTGCTTTATTACTGTTATGTACTTGCATGTAACAGTTTGTATGCATATATTCTGACTTATTTTCCTCCTGTCATTATCTTGTGCTGTTATGCCTTCTTCCTATCAGAATTGATATGTCAAAATCAGAGGTGTGATTTTGGTGTTGAAGTTTTCAGGACAGAGATACTATTTCCATGGATGCATTTCAAGTAATAAAATTAGGGAATGTGAAATTGAGAAATGAAAAATGATTACAAAAAACTTTCAGGTTTTCTATAATCAATGACTTTAAAAAGTGGATAGTCTTAATTTTAAATTAGCTTGCTGATAAAGTTCATGCCATACAGTCCTATCATGAAAGGAACACTGTAAGTATTAAGCAATGAACAGTGTGATTTCTGATCACCTAATGAGGATTGACAGTATGTAAAAGACACAGGTATGCTACAGGATGTGCCCAATAATTGTTTGAGGGTTTTCTACTGAAAAACTCCAATATACTAGCTTAACAACTGTAGTAGGAGGCAAACTTATTGTATGGGAAAGCTTCAAATTATACTGTAATTTTGTAGAAGGAGCCCAGGTAAGGATGGCTAATCCTGTCCAGTTTGGCTAGAACTCTATAGCCAAAAATGCAGATTTGAATTGAATATTTTTTGATGAGGCTTCCATAAATGCTTAACTAGTAAAAAACACATTATTTCTAAAAGACTTTAAAATACTGTGGTTTCTAATGGATTCTTTAATAATTATTTTGCATTGTGTTTTTCTAGTTAATGGTTTTTGGTAGTATTTAATGATAGCACAGTTTGGGGGTTTTATTGTTGTTCTTGAAGGGAGAAGATATTGAATTTTTCTTAGAGAAAACATCAGGTTTGTTCAAATAGACTAACAATCTGTTGTCCTTAAGCACGTATTACCATGAATAAACTCAGGAAACAGTTTTCAAGAAAATTAAAATTCAGTGCTGGTGATGGGGATTTTTGTGGGGAAAAAAAACAATGGTTTCAAGTTCTTTCACTAAGATCAAACTTCTGCCTATTTTGTTAGACTCAGCAATGTCTAAACATTGTTTTTTGTAATTTATTGTCATTGGTAATTCAACATAATAAAACATTTTTGATAGCACCTTTGTTTGGCTCAAAGGGATTCCATATGTTTAGGCAACCCACAACCTTAAGAACAGATGCTTGGTATTTATAATGTCTGCCCATTAGAACAACATGTTAAAATAGTACTGCCCACAGAAACTTGCATAAAGGTTGACTAGTATTTTCTAGACAGAGGTCTTTCATATATGAAGAAGGAAAACAACCAATTATCTTGGCCCTAAGGCCCACGATAAAACTTATGCTTGAAAGTAGGCAAAGTATATTTGTGGTATTCTGTAAATTCTCTTTCTCCTGCTTTCCAGCCCCTTCATCCTATCTATCCTACTTGAGCACCTCACAGCAATATTCCACCAACGAAGTTTACCCTATCCCCGGAAGGATACAGTGTGGCCCTTACTCCTTGTTCCTTCCTCTTCTCCTTCCCCAGATCAGGATATCCATTTTCTCAGAACAGATATTTCCAACTAAAAAGGTGAAAGGAAAGCTATCTCATTAAATTAGTTTATATTTTTCTGTCAGTGGCTGATAGTTAATTAGCATTTTTTAAGGAAGATGTGCATTAATCAAGTTTCTAGTTGCTAGATTTTCAGGCAATCTAACGAGGTGAGAATAATTTTAAATTCAGTTCTTATCAGGGAAGATATTTTGGGGGAAAGGAATAGTGTGTCCCAGGGTCAGATTATCTAATAAACTGCTTCTTTTTTTGCACAATTTCTTTTCTACTTCCTTTCTACTTCTTATTGCATCTTTTCTCTGAAAAAACTTTTAAGTTTTTAAATCACAATTAATGAACTTCTATGACAAAATGATGTAGAGGTAGACAAAGATTGGCAGTTATTTCTTTATGTATATATTTTAGAATCCATAGTTTTTGTATTCTTGTTTATCACAGTAAATGACTTACATAGCATGAGGATTTTTATTCTTCCCCCATCCCATTCCTGTTATAAAGGAAAAAAAAAAAAAAGCACAGAAAGATTGAATGCAAACTACTCATGGAGTCCAAGTTTTTCCAGATCCTTTTTCCAGATTTAAGACCTAGAAATCCTTTTAATCACCATGTTATTTCAAAATAAAAATGCAAGCCATATTAAGTATATATTGGCCAACTGCAATTAAACATCTTTAAAACATTTTTGTTTTACATTTCAAAGTTTATTCAGGAGTTTTTGGCATTTACCTCAAGATCAATGATTGTTGAAATTAGAAGAATAAATCAGTAGTGGGCTATCTGCCTTTTTATGCGGGAATACAGTGGCATTGATAGTGATTATTCACAACATGCATTATACTCATGGATGCACTGTTCCTGGTTGTAGTCTTACAGTGTAGGGACCTCCATCATATAATTTGAATAAAATGACATGCTTGATCACCTAAAATTCAGTTTGGTTGCTAATACATAAGAGAAAAGGGAACTATACTTGAAGATATAGACATAAGTTTTATTTGAAATATTTAGAAAAACATAAAAGTACTTTTAGAATATGGAAATCCAAGCTTACATTATATTGGCAAATTATTTATGTTTCAGTTATTCACTAAATAAATTTTAGCTAAATGCTTATAAATAAAAATATATGTAATTGCCAAGTAGGGTTTGCTTTGTATTCACATTTCTAAATGCTGGGCAATAGAGCTTCTTAGGATGACTGTTTTGCTGTAATTCCAACGGTCTAGTTATAGGAACTAATTTACTCTTCAAAGAGTATTAAGCATCTAATTTTAGGTGGACAATTATAGAGAATGTACTAAGTGCATTTGTTTCTTAAAATTGTCAAAATGGGACCACTTAGGTTATTTAATTTTATCTTTCCTATGAACTAATATTGCTCAGGTCACATTTTCTTTCTCTTTCCAAATTCATTATCTCTGAAATTGGTACCACTTATAACAAAAAAAAAAAATGTACTTTTTGTATGTATGATAACATTTTTTTAACAGCAGGAAAGCAGTCTATCAAGAAACAGCCGGCCAGGCACAGTGGCTCACGCCTGTAATCCCAGCACTTTGGGAGGCCAAGGCGGGCGGATCACCTGAGGTTGGGAGTTCGAGACCAGCCTTACCAACGTGGAGAAACCCCGTGTCTACTAAAAATACAAAATTACCCAGGCGTGGTGGTGCATGCCTGTAATCCCAGGTACTCGGGAGGCTAAGGCTGTGGAATGACTTGAACCCAGGCAGGCGGAGGTTGCAATGAGCCGAGATCGCGCCATTCTACTCCAGCCTGGGTGACAAGAGAAAAACTCGGTCTCAAAAGAAAAAAAAAAAAAAAGCCATTTTAAAACCTCAAATATCCAAATGCCAGCATGGGTTGGGAGTTATAATTTACTTTGCATTAAATTCCATGGTGCAAAAAAGAGAGAATGTGTTTTTTCTGTTTGATTAATAACAAAAATGTACTGTTGGTAGTCCGGAGTTACATAGGCTTTATGCAGAGACCATAGTTTGCTATAGCCACATTTTTTAAAAAATTGGTTTGCCAAAACATCCCAAAAACTTTTGAATTCCTAAAGTTATTTCTGATGTATATATTATATATATATATATATATAAAATATATATATAATATATATATAATGTGTATATATACGCGTGTGCGCACGCA